ACTGCGCTTTCGTAAGTGGGTGAATGTCGCTGAAAAAATATTGGTGATTCCTAGGAAATATTACTATCGGCAACACTAAAAGATGAAAAGAGAATTACCAATATTCTCTTTGTAGGAATCCTTGCAAAATAAATAAGTCTCGCAACGCAACTTGTTCAAGCTCCTACTTACTGCGAATGAAATCCGGGCTCATATCTCCCCTGAGCTCCCATAGATAATCATCCAGTGGGCACTCGGAGAGCCAGAAGATGCATTCCTCATCGTGGTTGGTAAAGTAGTATTTGCAGCGACAGCAGTTATCACCTTCCCACGAAGGTATTCCGTATTCCGCGATTTCCACATATAGATGCCAGGATTTGATACGACCAAATGATACGGCCCTTTTCGAAATGGCATCGTTGAGTATGGCGATGTATCTAGATACCTTCTCGGCAATGTCTCTGTCATACAACCACTCCTCAGTGATTACTTTCTATAAATGTTCTTAGAGACGATTCTGCGATTGAATTAGAAAAACGTACATCTTTATCGTGATAAAAATATGACTTCCCATCTGAATGTGTATGCTTTGTCCAACCCTCAGGTAGAACCTCTTCCTCTTCGCTAGTGCAAGAACGAGTCAAGATTCTGACAAGATTGCAAGAGGATCCACGTACGTTTGAGGCAAGATACGTCTAACTGTATTGAATTCGGTTAGCATAGCAGGCACTGTGAATTTCGCTGGGTCCCATTCGTCTCTAAACACTGATGTTACTTGTCATGAAACCGAGCGAAACGAGAGCACTGACATATAGGACTTCCTGAAATAGTGGTTTATGCGACATGGAAGACATTCTTTGAACTCTCTCTCGTCTCTGGCCCAATTGTACGTACCCGCGTGGGTACGGCTTTGCAGCGGGACCATCAATTCGCTGGACTCCGAAACTTGACCGGTGGCCTCCCTAGTTGGTGATGTGTCCTCTGAGACAATAATATGGGGGATATTAGTCGCTGCGTCGGGATCAATGCTAGAAGTTTGGCGGAAGGGAAAACCAACACGGCTGGGGATCGAATGTCGAGGGTATTCCCATCCGATGGCTACCGTCGAGGCAGACACAGGGTTCGGTGAGCTGGCAACTGTGGTAACCTCCCGTTCAACAACCTCTGATAAACTTCTAGCGACATGCGAACAGCCCGAAACCGACATGTCGTCTTTATCAGGAGTGTCTATCTCGTCGCGGGATGGTGCAGCAAGGTTGGAGACTGACTGTGTGATCGGCCGGCGGGGGGGATAGCGATCCTGCGAGTCCATCCCCTTCAATGACAAGCAAGGGGATGGCTTCGCTGGGAAGAAGGATAACTCAAGACCTGCGAAATTAGCGCCATCCTCGCTTGAAACAGACTGAGTGCGACGCATGTCAAGATGGTATCGTGGTTTCCAAAACTTCAAGGTCCGTGTGCTAGGATGCGTCCTTGCTTGTTGATTAGGCAAGGGACTGTGTTCATTGAAGGTAGAAGTGGTAGACATGGGTAAGGATGGGAGTGGCTGCTTCGATATCTTCTGTTTTAGTCGATGCCGGTAGAAATAGGTTTCTGCTGAGACAAGTGCATGTTCCGATTCGTCTTCCCAAGCTGTAGATTATATGGGAGTAAAACGGCAATTTGATACAGCCAGAAGCCCTTGAAAGACACGGGAACTGATGACTTGAATTGATACCTTAACTTTCGTAGAAATCCGACCAGGTACAGGTGTCGGAAAAGATACCCTGCATCAACAGAGGAAACAGCTGAGATACTAGAGCCATAAATATTGCCCTCAGAAGTATGAGAAGTATGGTATTCCGGGGAGTTGTCGAGAGCGGTGGCAGAGACTATTAGATGACATCTCTACTAGTCCCGCTCGTCCTGTCCTCTGGGATGAGAAGACTTGTACATAGCTTGTCCAATTGATACTTGAGAAGATCGATAACGGCGTTATTACTTCGCTTTGCATTTTTGCAATCATCTGAGAAGCACGTACTCCCTTCGCATATTATGAGAGAGGCCATGATGCATAAACGTGTTGTTCCAGATAACGCACTCCCATCGAAGAGGACCCAAAGCTAGGTGGGGACTGTAGACTCGAGACCTTCGCCAATTCAGTTTCTTGATCGAATTCTCCTTCAATACTAGTCGGCCTGCTCCACAAGGCCCAGTCCCATGTAAGAGGGCTGTATTTTAGTCTTCGCGATGACATATCAGTGGTGGTGTCAATAGATTCGTGTAGTCCGCTTGAAATAGCTCTGTTTCAAGGCATAAGACAAGGGCTGTTCCCCACACAGTTAGCGGGATACTAGGGTGCAGAAGAGCCTTCGATTGATCATTCCAGAGTTTCTCCCCGAGAATGTCTAGTGGAAACGGGAGAACGGATAGCCAATTATCTCTGTACTTGGAATCGCTGAGTTGTAGATCAGGAAGGCTAGGCGTAGGAGAGTGTGACACGGAGTAAGAACATTTGTCGAATGTCGCCATTTGGAAATTGATGTATTAGAACGTAGAAGAGCCCCCTTTTAACCGCACATATCATGAAGAACTCGGAACCAAAGCAAGTTGCTCAGTGAATGTCGTGATCTGCGTGGCCCAACGGTCAGAAAAAGTTGACGAAGCCCAGAATTGACAGATTGGCACTATACAACATTCCTCGGTGTATCCAGACAGACAGCCGAAGGCCTATTAAGAGTGTGTTAAGTCATGTAGACACTATTATGCACAGAAGTATTTGAGCTGGGCTGGTGTCGACGGTCCGCGTAGTCCAACGTGTTAGTACGTATGAAGACAGAATGGTAGGAAGATGAAGGGCCAGAGTCAATGAAAATGACATTTTCGGGCCTTCAAGCCTAAATAATCGCCAATCACGAGGGATCTTGGGACGATAATGTTCCCCCCAGCGTAGAAATTCAACAAAAATATAGAGAGACAGTCTGTGTAGTCGAAGCCCAGCCCACTGACCGTGTCACCTCCGGTGATACAAATGTGGTAAAACCCGGTGATGACGCGCTGTCCGGCGTCGAGGGGCAGTCATCGGGCAAAAACATCGAGAAGAGTTCGTAAGAATTGCTTGCGTTTGAGAGTAGGACGAGAAGGTAAGCTTTCAACGTCCTCCCCCGATCAGTCTCGCCGCTCGCTCGGACCGTGAAAGCGCACAAGCGATCGAGTGGCTGTGTGGTTCCTCTTAGCCACCGCCTCAGCTTGCTATCACATCTTCCTCCAACACAAATCAGACATAATCTTCATATAAATGGTACTTTCTCTCATTTGATTGTTCTTACCTTTTTACAGGTCTTTTCCACCCGTCGTGCGGCCCCAAGAGCCTCGTATTGTGTGAATTCTTCCCCACAACCCGCGTAAGCCCTCTGCAGGCAGCTTGCGATTTATCCATCAACCACGATGGCCACGACGATGATGTCCACCGGCACCTGCCCCGGCCACGATTATTACCCCCATCCCTACTGCGACCGACGCAGCGCACCCTGCATCAACATCGGGGGAAATCGCCGATGCGTGCGAGGGTCGTAGGCTTTCAAGAACTTAAATTTGTCTGTGAGCCCAACATCAAACACCATCTGGCTTGTAGGAGTCCATAACGGCTGCAAACGGACGACGACGACGACGACGAATGGCTCGACAACGCCGGCGGCGGCGGAGACGACCATCATGCTGCGATGCAGGGCCAAGGAGGGATGGGTAGAAGGGCTCGTGCAAAAAGAGAGCAGGCTGGGGAGAAGCAGGACGGCAAGAGAGGACGAGCAGGACGGTGGGACAAGACTGGGACACCGACGACGGCACCCTTTTGGGCATTGACAGAGGGCTCGAGGGAACGATAAATGTGTCCAAGATAACGGCCGTATGATCACGACCCCGCCCACCGGCTCTCCTGCCCCATATTATTATCAGCCCCTACAACGGGTCTATGGCTCTTGTAACCTCACCACCCCTGTTTTCGACATCATGGAACATGGTAGTGATGTCCTTTTCACGCCGTCGCTATCGAGATATCGACAGGCCGTCAACCCTTCGGTTTTCTGTTTCTGATCAATGCTACGTTGTCCCCAGCTACCAATAACGACGTTCGATGCTGAGTACCTTGTTTCCCCTAATGACACTATGTGTGGGGCTCCTCGCTGATGCGTGCACCTGCTGTAGCTATTGCAGTGGCATAGTTTTTATTTGCAGAATATTGGGTTTCGCGGAATATAAGATATACACTTTGTATACTTTCTAGCATATTGGTTGAGTGAGCTCCTGATCTTTAAGCGGCACGGGTCCAACTCTTGCCTGAGGCCTGAGGACTGACTGAGTGCCGAGTGCTGCAAAAACACCAGATTCCAAATATTTTTTGACAGCAATGCGCATTCGGCTTACTCACGGTCTGGAGATGCACGGACTCGTATGTGCCGTGGCTTGCCAGCGGCCGGCCTTTCAAGTCACATATTGTCGTTGCCCCCTTCACAAAACAACTCCAGAGTGGCTGTTACATCGATCGCCAAGGTGGAGCAAGTTGATTGTTCGAGTCAAGAAGTAACAAGGGTGAGACTTGGGCGATTAGAACTGAGAATAGGAAGGATAATGGAAGCACTATTCGAGGTCGTGTTTAAGTCCAACATGTTTTATGCTGGGGGTGACAACAAAAAACACAGGACAAAGGACAAAGCGTGAGAAGATGATGGTCCAATATCAATCTTGATGCCAATCTGAATCTTCCCGTCGTTTATGTCGGGGACGAGCAAGTGGCGAGAGTTCCCGTTCCACAGAGTTGCACTTAGCTACGTTTTCGCATCGTCTGAGGTTAGTTAAGATTTGATTTTGGGGACCTTCAAAGCCAGACTCGGACCCGAACAATCTATCGCAATTAAAAAAAACTAAGATGTCCATATCAAAGAGAGTGCGAGTTATACAGGATCAACAGGATTAGCGATACAAAATAAGATATATATGGCAAAACGAACGTGGAAAATTTTTGTCCGTCTACCCTGCAGAACGAATCATAACTTGCTGGAGAACTTGCGCCACTTCACCAACTCGACAAAATTCCTCATCGCCCACCGGAAGAGCGACTTGACCCTCCATTTTCTTTTCCGAACAGGCTCCAGCACCGGAGGTGACTCCTCAGACGTCGAATGACTCGAATCCAGTTCACGCGTGTCTGGGGAATCAGAACTGAGTTCTTCCGTTAAACCTGAGCAAGATACCCCCGGCGCGACACTATAAGTAAGCGAAAAGTCGTCAGGAACAGGCGTGTCGTCAACCTCTGGACCTTCTGGAGGGTCGAAAAGAACGGATCCATAGCGCGCGAGCTGATACTCCTCTACGATCCTGGAAAAAAAGAGTTAGGAGAGTTCGCACGAATGGAAGATGTTTGCTTACTCCCGGAAAATATCGACGTCTCTCCACAACTGCCATGGACAGGTATTTCCGGAACGTTTGACAGCCTGAGGGCATGATTGACATCAGCTCCGAGTCGGCTGTCGTGCCACGTCCAGGAGATGTGTTGACCATTTCTTCCAATTTCTTTCCATAGAAGTTTTAAAACCTTTCCCTTACGATAAAAAGAAATAATCTCAAATATCACTGTAAACCAATGCTACCGTTTATTTATAGGAAGCTCTACCGTTTACTACTACCTAGTGTTGTCAAAGATAATTTCGGTATGTACTTGTTCCAGCTTCCCATACAATACGACTTATGCTCAGTTAACAAAGTCCCAGGTAACGTTCACTAGAGAAGGAAAAGGATCAGGCCAGGGCAACAACATGAAACCTAGCAAAAAAACATACATCTGCCAACTGTCAAATTTCCTAAGGCTTGGAACGCAGCGACAGAAAGATAGATATTGGCCGAGTCGCCACAGTCTTTGCAGGCATCTGTGACCATAACCTCGACAGACGTCGAAGGATCGTCTGTCAGAGAAACAGTGACCTGCAAAGCGTCATCAGATAAGCTTCCACAGATCCGACTCGGACAGTTGGCGTACATTTCTGAAGCAATTATCCCTTTGCTCCCAGTTCACGTAGTCTGTGCTCAAACCAACGATAAAGTCGGTATCATTGGAATAGATGCCGCATGCAGTCATGGTACTGTTCTAAAGGGCAACGCCGTCAGAATATACTTGAAAAATGCCAGCAGATGCACCTACTTCGAACCCATAGTAGGCGATACCAGTCTCAGCGCGCGAGTGCAAGACCGACGCAAAGACGGAGGAGGCAAGAGCAAGTAAGGTGAGTTTAAGCTGCATTGTTAACGAAGGAGAAGACTGCTCGATAGATCGCTGGCTCTTGTATCAGAGATACCCTAGGTTTATATACGGCCTCGCCTACCCAAAGAGATCGTAAAAGTTCGAAAGAACATAAAGCGCAAACTTGCGGGCTAGTAGGGATCGAGGTGTCAAAGAAAGGTGGAGTTGGGTGCAGAAGCCGCCGTGTCCGACGCATGCGCATCTACACGCGACCACATGGAATTTCTCCGTCGTGACAACCAATACCTAGGCATGAAGTTACGCTTAGTTGAATTTCCATATTCTTCTACGGATGTCGGGTCCTCCAAGCGACAAACCAGCACAGGCCACTGTCTAACATGTCTGTTAACCAGTTATTCCGCCCCTCTCAGGATCGGGAACCCGAAATATCGTCAAGGTATAGACCACTGCACTCACGATTCTATCATATTCGAGACCAGGTTATACATGCTTCATGGCTTTGCAACGAGCCGCCCTCGGGGCGCCTGCACCTCATACCAAGCAGCGGCCGAGGTAACGACGCATCGTAGTGCCAAGTTCCAACAGAGAAAAATCGCGTGCAGAGTCGAGAAAGCCCATACTAGTAACGCTCGAGCGCACAACACGTAAAGCGGAGAACGCTTTGTTGCGAGTCACCTCGTGCGCGATGGACATACCAGGTCCAGGCATAATAACGCCCGGATTGATATTGCATACTGGAATGAAGTAGAAGGAACCGCTTCCAAAAGCAACACGGCGCACTTACCCGACCACAATGACTAAGATCCCAGATAATAAGCTTTGATTTCTCAGTCTGTAAATTCGGTAAATTCCGGAATACGTACAAAGTTTAGAGCCTCTCACACGCTCAATCGGCAAATTATGCTCTACTGGCCTGGAGAATATCCTCAGTGTTCGAGTATTTCCTCCCTGTAGTGTAACTGTTTATGGTCAAGTATCCCCGCGGAGCTGTTCCAAACTTGCGTGCGGTCAACACTGGTGCTTTTTAGCTGATTGTTTCCTTCCAGAATAAAATTGACTGACCACAATGATGTGCTGATATCTCGAAGGGTGAACGAATGTTCGTGGACATATTTCGTAGAATTACATGTTACCAAAGCTCGGTTAGCCATAAGCCATTGGCGCACCAGGCGCTCTGGCATAACGTCAGGCGGAACTGAAGTCCCGAGCCAAAAGTACACCCTAATGCCATCGTCGCACCATTTCACCACTGCCGATGCTTAGTGAGCACTTTTTTGTGAGAGAAGATTTATATACATACGAGCATATACTCCGCCACCGTCGGGATTGAAAGTAACATGGAAGGAGACGTCAGAGAAGAGCGGCATCTGCATTCGTGGACGATAATCACCACCCAGAAACAACATGAACCATTGCTTTATTGGTCATGTAGCAGTTCATGTCCTTCACATATACCTAACCCTGATGGTTGTCGCCCAAGACACAAACGGAGAAGTGTAGGATGGAAAGTATCAATTTCTCCCATGCCACGTTGGGGAAGTTACACCTAAGTACAAATTCAGTCGGAAATAGACAGATCAGACGCTTTTTTTTTACTATTCGACTAATATGCACGGAGAAAGGTCTGAAGCATAGACCGGAGTAAACCAATTTCTCCACCGTCGGGGGTCTTGGTAAAATGGTCCGATCGGAAATAGACAGACCAGAGGTGCTTTCGATACCATCAAACCACTGTATGCTGAGCCATAAGTTATCCGGCAGGCCCGCAGAGAAAATGTGTGTCAAGTCCTAGACCTTGCTTATCAACGCATATTGTAAAGTCCGTAGAAATGGTAGGCCACGAAAGGGATGAAGCAGTTGGCGAAGCGCTGCAGGCCTCGAGAGGCTCGGCCGGTCACTAAGAGGCCAGAATTTCGCAACAAAGGACAGTAAACTGTAACATCAGAGGTGCAGCCATAGATATCTTGTTTCCGAACATTGCGCTAACAATGCCGCCTGATTTTAGAAGCAGAAGAGGGCTCTTAAGATCAAGACTCGGAGCGTCGTACAGTGCTTGAACCGGAATGCACTTTCAAGTTTCTGTCCATTATGCTGTGCGAATTGTCTTTTGTAACATAGAACTGCACAGGAACGACCACGAGGTTAGCCTCGAGCATGTATAAGTGCATCTGTTCCAAAGCGTTGGTTCATGCAGAAATGAACATTGGGTGCACCATAGGACCACCAGCTTGATACCTTTTTGATCGTCGTGACGAAAAGGTAAACATTGAAGCCAGTTCGAGACCGGAGAATCTCTCCAAAACTACTCTTGACCCGAAAACTGGCAAGAAAGACCCTCCCACGACAAACCAGAATCCCCTCAAAAACCCAAACGATGCTGGGACTCCCGGACGCATTGTAGTGATGAGATTTAACGCCGGACACGCATATAGCCGCATATATGTGTGCGTGGAGTTTGCTATTTCCGCTGGTATACATATCGACAAGGAGAAACCTGTTAATGCTTCAATTCTTGCAGTCTAATATTCTGTGTCAGTCCGTGAACCGTATAGCATCGAATACGAAAGGATGAATACATGAATGTACAGACCGGTATTTCGACACGCGACTCGGACATCGAAGGAAAGTATTCTTCAACTAATTAGGCACCAATCCATGTCCACTCAGTACTCATCCGCCATCGACCGTTCGCCATTGAATCCGTGTTGCCCAAAATAAACGATTGGAAAATTTCTGTTTGACACCTACAGACGGCAATAGCATTGGCACCGTCTGTTTCTTTATTCTATTTGGGACCCCTGGATGTAGCTTTGATTTAAACGCCTGTCTGAATCAGAAAAATTGGAAAGTGGAGGAACGGGCGAGTAAAAGATGATGACGCAGAGGAAAATTGCCCACCTCGGCCTTCCGGACCGGACCCCGACTCCCTAATCAAGGAAATTCAATTGAAATTCAACACTCTTTCGCAGAACTATCGAGGCAGACTGACATCGTACGGTCAAGTCATCAAGCACGTATTTTCCGCTTTGTAGTTACCACATATGCATTCAAGGACATGTGAGATGCGTCTTGATGTGTCTCAAATCAGATACAACCGGCTTTCCGATTCTTCCTGGTACTCTTGTTATCTTGTCAACCGGCGATGTGTATGCCTGCTTGATAGATCTACCTCACTCGTATCACCCTCGGGATAGCTCAGATATTCAAACCCGCAAAATATTGGTTGTCTATGCACTGTCTTGACCTCATCAGTGGATACTAGTGTTGGGTAAATATGTGCTGACACTCTTGTCTCATAGACGTTGACGCGTCTCCATGAACTCGCACTTCCCTGTGATAGCGTTACTTATGCCGATTAACCAGTGTCTTTGAGCAGGGCTCCTAATGCATTTTTACCGCAAAATCACGATCACATGATATCAACCTTCGCGTCCTATTTTATTAGCCCAGAATAATATGCCCCTCTAATCATTCACTTGAGTCTTCTTACAATTTCGAAAACATTTGTTTCCTCCCTTTGAGGACTGCTCAAAGATGTAGCCCACTAAACAAACAAGGCATGAATAAGCACTAGTACTAACTCTCGTTGTACAGTAAATCTCTAAATATACAGCGCTGGGTGGCAGATGTATTATAATATCAACACATATGAAATAATGTTTTCTGACTTCGCACTGAAACAAGATGTAATCATTTCGTACTTTTAAGACAGTGTATAGTGGAAGTACTTGCCTCGGCAGTCAATCGTCTTGAGCTTCGAAATATATCCGTGCGATGAAACGAGCCACTTCAAGGATTTGGCTCAACTGTTCCCAAAAGGGCTCGACGGCCCTAAAAAAATCCAATACCGACACCACACATGGACCAAGGTCTCTGAGCTTATGATTGTCCACCAACCCTTCGATTTTGCATCAGAACGACCCAGGCTCGGAACGTGGGTTCCATGTTGCGATTGACCATGCAGCCGCACATGTAAAGAAAATGAAGGAAGCGTAAATCATCCATCTGAACCCTCCTGTTAACCTTTTGCAGCGCGCACTGCTCGACGACAATCCTAATACTTGCACCAGTTGACGGTTTTCCTCATCTCTGATGAATGACTGAGCTCGGCATGCGTGCAGGTCGTTGAACAGGACCTGTTGCGACTCAGGGAGTGACATCTCTCTATCGAACGTTTCTTCTCTAACCAGAGCCCTGGACATATTGAGACCGTTGTCTGTAGTGATCGGTATACGAGTCAGTGCACACTGATAAAGGTTTGAGCTTGAAGAGACATTACACTGTATCGGTATTGCGAGGTGGG